AGGAGAGTTCCTTTTTCTCCACATCATGGCCAACATTTGTTGTTGCTAGCTGTTTGAAGATGTGCCATTCTCACTGGGGTGAGGTGGTATCTCATTGTGGTTTTAATTTGCATCTTCAGGAGATTATTTTTATGATTCAACAATTTTTGTTCTGGTACATAATCTATTAGGTAAACTGGATCAACACAGATGAAATAATTTAGTAAACAAGGCAAATCAGGGACGATATTACCCAACGTGGCCTGTAAATACCAACCAAGTGATTCCAAGGTAGTGCTGGTACAGCTTAAAGGTGAAGGGAACAGGCCTGTGAGGTTGGGAAGACCTAAGCAGGTGGAGGGTGGGGCCCGGGTAAGCATGATAGGTGGAGAACAGCAGGAAGCAGGAACAGGGAGAAAGGGAATACTGCTCTCCCAACACCAGGTGGGAGGCCACCTTCAGCTGCCTGGCTCCCAGCACCCCACAGAGCTGGCGGCAGGTCACCGTCCTAATGTGTTCTTTTCCCCTTCACCCAGGACCCAGTGGAGGCTCTAAGTTGCCACAGAGCCCCAGAATCACAAAGCCTTGTCAGTTGGGGTTTAATTCATACAGATCAGGAGATAAAGAACATGGGAAGTAAAGGGAGCTGCCCTGGGAAGGCAAAGAGGTCAGGATTTCCCAGAGGTTGCTGGGAAACACTGTTTGCTGCGTGTCCACAGACGAGACAAAACAGCTCTGCTTCCTCCTAAACTTCCTACTGGGTCTAGAAAAGGGGAAGAAACGGGGCTCATCAGGGAAGGTCACATGGACAAGGCTCTACCCAAGGTGCCAAAGAGTTCTCACGGCAAGGCTGGGACCTGTGGTCTTACCCCTCATTTCAGTGGAGGGGGGAGAAGGCCTGAATATGTGCCCTTGGCTGACCAGTGATCCTTAAAGGTGATTTTTGTTTTCAACCTGCTGAAGTCTGGAATAAAGGCTTGGGGTGGGGAAGGACACTTGAAAGGCCAAGGCAACCCAATCCAGAGCTTTGATCCAGCACTGCTATTTTGCCAAAGTGCTAACTTACCAGTTACATTCTTGTTCCTTCTAGAACCCTGTTGCAGAGGGTGAGGGTGGGCCCTGGCTCTATTTTAACAGGGGAGAAACATGTTCTTAGGAAGAGTCCTGAGTAACCTGAGTCAACCCTGGAAGACCAACCAGGCGAGTTCTAACTTGTAGACACGTAGACACTTCACAGAACTATTTGGTCTGTCTCTCAGCAACTTGCTTTTCAAAACAGGGAAAGAAGCCCACTTCCTTCACCTCCTATCCCAGAGACCTGGAGGCCCTATTACCTCAGTTACTCCTCCTGGGAGCCCAGGGAAGAAGGCATCATTAAGCCCCCATGTCTATGCAGTGGGAGGTGCTGTAGGCAAGGTGCAGGCCAGATGCAGTACCCCAGAGTTGGGGAGATGAAGAACTGTGTGCATTTCCCCTTGGGCAGACACAGTAAATCCCTTCCTCCACCCAGCCCTCAGCCCCTTCACATGTAATTTGAGCCCATTAGGAGCCTGGAGGATTTCAGAAACTACCAAACCTTGTCCCAGCCAGCAATTCAGGGGTTCCTTTGTGGCTTCCCAGTCTGTCTGGTCTGTGTACACAGCCATAGGGACACACACCCAGCAGTTTGCATATCAGGAAGCATTAAGCTAAGAACAGTCAAACATAGAGCTGTGCTGTGGCAGTGGGGGTGGGGTGATGAGGAGAGCTGGGTGTGGGAAGGGGAGCAAACATGGAAGAGGAGCTGATTTTCCCCTGAGCCCCTTTGTCAGATTACCCCAAAGAGCAAAGGGCTTAGCTCCCGGGTTGCTGAGAGGGTGAGTACTCCCAACTCAAGGAGGCCGGGTAAAGCTTGAGTCCTTATCTCTGAGGCTTATCATCTGTGGCTGTGCAGGGTCTGGGCCCCTTCTTCCTGAGGCCTTCCAGTCAGGCCAGGCCTGTTAGCTCTTGCCCAATGCTCAAGGAAAAACTAATAAGGGAGCCAGGATGACAGCTGAATTAAGGGAGAGGAGAGATCTGCTTTGGATCACCTCAAGTAGGCTCTCAGTTTAAATCTTTGGGGCAAGAGCTATTATTTGGGGCAGGGGAGGGAGGGAGCTCCCCTCTAAATCTGTTATCTCTTTTAGGACAAGCGGAAACTGAAATCAGGCCCATACGAAATCTAGTTGGAATCTAAGTGCCATCTGGTTGAAATCTAAGGGGACATGAGCATTCCCTTCCTTCAGGGAAAGGGTGTGTTGACAGAAACAGGCCAAGACCTGCATTCTCTCCCTGCACTGGAGAAAATATAGTATCAGATTAACACTTAGCTTCTGTTCCAAGAGCTTAGGTCTGATCCACACAACCACACCACAAGGAAAGCTAATGTGAGCATGCCCAGTTTGCAAATGGGGAAAATGAGGCACAAAGGGTTAATCATCTGTAGAAGGTCTAGAACGAGGGCAACCCAAGATTCAACCAGGCAGGCTGGTTCCTTTGTTTGCAAGCCTTTCAAATATGCAGACTTTTAGTAATGACAACCCTGCCTCCTCATCTCAGTTTATAAGATACATTTCACCTGCGTCTGACTAACCTTTGCTGATCCTTCAGCTAACAAGTGACTGCCTCTGCACGGGGCACTGAACTTAGTCCTAAAAAGGATCATCTGATCTTTGCAACCCCATGCAGAGAGAGGGAATGGTGTCCCTCTCATCCTGACAATTAAAGAGCTTACGCTGGCTTGCTCAAAGCTACAGCATACATAGAGATAACAAGGACCAGACAATCATATACATATGCAGACACACGTGCACTAAACCAAGAGTTTCATGAAACGATACTGATCTTACATGTATTTTTTCTTGTCTGTTTAATAACGTTGGTTTGACCCACCATGCTGATTTCACAATTCATTAATGGTTAAGACACACAGTTTGGAAAACAGTAAGTCTACTGTTGTGCAGAGTGGAGTTGTGCTGTACTTCTGACCCCAGACTGGAGTCCTATCAACCTGGTCACTGAAAAACAATGCACGTACCAACAAACTCAACCCTGGGAAGATCTACCACCAAAACAGTGCATTGCAAAGTACCTGCACATTTTGATAATGACTCCTTGGGTAATAAATGCCAGGTCCCCAGGGACACTGGGTGACAACAGCTCCCACAAAGCAAGCACATGAATGTGCACCTTACAATTTTGATAAGAATGAGTTTCTACTGATCTACATTTCTGATTCCTCCTTTTTCTGACATTACCTTATATCTCAGACTGCAAAACACTGAGGGTGAGAACTTTACATTCCACAGTCACTCTGCATAATAGCATCAGGACACATCTAATAAGCACTTACCTCAAAGGCAAAACACCTTATATCTGTGTTGGACTTTTACATTTTGAAACCCTTTGAACATTCTCTTCCCAGGCCAGTTCTTACCACAATACCTCCGTCTTGGAGAGTACACTTTACAGAAAGCTGTGGTTGGTCTAACACCTCAGAACAAAGGCCTTAAAACAGAAAACAAGCGCCCTCCCTGGTGGTACAACAGGTTAAAGTGCAGCACTATGAAGCTATCACAGCCACTGCAGCACTGATGGAGGAAGGAATGCAGGGGAGACATCACAAGACTGAGTCGCACAAAGGGGATAGGTGGAAGGGGCCAGTGCAGCAACTGACACAGCCATGACATCAAGCTATGTCCGGGATGCCCCTGGGATGCCTGAATATCTGCAGCAGAAAACAGACTGTTGGGGGCTGTGTCTGAAGCTCAAATCCAAAAGGTGAAAGATAAGGACATGGAGATGAAGATCGTCAGGAATTTCTTCAAAATTTAACCAACCTAGGCTCAAAGGGAGTGAGCCCCTCCCAGGGAGAGGCTGTCTATATTAGGGCAGTCTCTCCACCAGCACTGGGCAGCCGCTCCTCTGCCCACCTGTGCTTCTTTCTACCCGCTGTGGAAAGAAGCCGCTCCTGTTCCCACAGGTGCTTCTTTCTACCCGCTCTCCCCCTCTGTAGGGCAGCACCTCCTGCCTGCCCTTGACCTATACCATGCTGGGACTTCTCTTCATTGACCTCCCCCAGCGGAGGCCGCTCTCCTAAGGCCCCCTGCCTGCAACCTTGCAGGTCTCTTTCCCTGCAAACCTGTCCCTTTGGGGGCAGCTCTTTCTGCCCGCTTGTGTCTATGCAAGTGCCCTTTCCTTTCCTGTCTCTTCCGAATAAACTTACTCTTTAAAAATCTAACTGAGGGCCCTCCCTGGTG